GGGTTTCTGACGCGGGGAGCAGACTGGGGATGTCTCAAGGGCGAGGACGGGGATGTCTGTGGGGGAGGGGAGGAGGTGTTAGAGAGCAGGACGGGGTGTCTGACATGGGGAATAGAGGGGTGTGTGGGAGGGACGGCAGGATGGGCCTGTCTGACACAGGTAGGGTGACCAGACAGCAAATGTGAAAAATTGGGACAGGGGATGGGGGGTAATAGGAGCCTATATAAGAAAAAGACCCCAAAATCGGGACTGTCCCTATAAAATCCGGACATCTGGTCACCCTAGACAGGGAGGCGCAGTCTGGGGCTGGGGGTCTCTGACACAGCGCAGCCCTGTGTGTGCAGGATCAAGTTCCTAGTGAGCACTGAAGAGCTGTGTGGCCCATGAGTTCTCTTTAACACTGGTCACGTCTACACTGAGAAAAGGCATCATGACTGTAAACGTGTTAACTAATGTGATGATAAACTTAACTTAGTACCTAACCTAGCACAGATGGAGACAAGTTGAGTTTAAAAACAAAATAACTTTAAGACCAGCTAACATGTCTTTAAATGCAATTGTCCATGTTCAGACTAAATGCAAAATCATGTATAACACTGTTAGTTAATATTTTTCTTGTGTAAACGTGGCCAATGAAAATGATCAATTTGGGGTGTTGTTGGTCTGTCTTGTTAAAAAATGTATCTGCTTCTCTTCATTGTCTGACAGAGCAGATTGTAAAGCCTGTTAGTTTATTCAGACTTTTTTTGAATCTGTAGGCTGAGTTGTGACGTTTTTGTTCTTGCAGGGTTTGGGAGTCTTGTTAGTATAACTTTGTAATAGATTTTTAAGACCAGAAGGGATCAAATAGTCTGACATCCTGTATAACTGACCAAATAATTTTGACCTTGTTTTAACTTGATTCTGTATACATCTTTAAACTTTGTGTTTGTGAATGTATAATGGCATGACATCACTAAATAAATAAAATGTAACATTTTTGCTTTGGTGAGGTATTGTTGGTTTTTACCTAAAAATGGGGATGCTGTCTTCACCCTTTGTTTTACGTTTTTGAATTTCAGAGGTCAGTAGCTCACTTTTATTTTTTTGTAAAATAACACAAAGGCTCCAGTCCAACCTGTGCTTACACCAGCATGCAATCCCACTGGAATCATTGGGGACATGAATGGGTGCAGTGGATCAGGTTGCAGAATCGGGCCCATAGTGTGGGGACAAGGTGGTAGTCAGTTTTTGTGGCTTCTGTATGATCTATAAGAGGAACAGAAGTGTGTCTTGTTGACTATTTTTGTTTTTAATCTTAGAAATCTTAGGAAAGTCAAGTCCGATCTTGCCTGGTTTTGCTGGAGGACTTTCATGGAGGTTTCAGAAAAGTAGGTTTGGTGCTTTCTCAGCCTGACACTTACAGTGAGTTACAAAAAGTCCCTAAGAATTGCAAACTATAACCCCTTTCTCATTATTTCTTATGTTTCTAGGGCCTTGATTGTTTTGTCTGTAATCAAAGATGGAAATATACACATGAGGAAAAAAACACTTTAAATCTGCTTTGTCTGTATTCATATGGATGAATCCAGGATGTTCCAAGAAAACACATCTGATAATTACTTGAATTCAGTAGCCCCAATTTGTGAAGATGGTGCTTTCCAAAAGAAAGGGCACAGTGCAAGGACCCTTAGCCCTGAAGAAGCTGAGAAACTGGCAAGAGATCAAGCCTTGGTGTCTGACTTCAAAAAACTGAAACTGGAGAAAGATGCACAGAAGAACTGGGATCTATTTTACAAAAGAAACAGCACAAACTTCTTTAAAGACAGGCATTGGACAACTAGAGAGTTTGAAGATCTAAAAGCATGCCGGGAGGTGAGCCATATACACTAGTTCTACAAGTAAAGGGGCAAATATTGCTAATTATTTTCAAACGATTTAATAGTCCACCAAATAAGTTGTCAGTGACAGATCACTGTTATACGTCAAATGTGCAGTGTTGTGTAGTTGATAGCTTCCATGACTTCTAAGATTAAAAAAAAAACTGAAATTTTTTTTGATTGGACTTTTCATCCTGTTCTTTCCTCAATATCTCCACGAGTAGGCTCCATCAGGACCCATCTGAAAGTTTCAAATGTTGGAATCTCTTATGAAATCTTTGAATAATAGTTTATAATTGACATATATTTTACATTCAGACCCACTCTCTAGAACAGTGGTGCCCAAACTTTTCCTGTCACGACCCCCCCTTACCAGTACTCCTCCCACTCCCCACCCCCGCCCTTACTGCACAATTGGCTCAGCAGAGGAGCTTGGGCTGAAGGCAAACCTAGGTGCAGAACTGGGGCTAGAGGCAGAGCTGGCCTGGGGTTGGAGAGGGACTCAAACACAGCTGGGCCAGGGATGGGAGCGGAGCCTGGGCCAGGAGAAACACATTCAAATGTATTTGTTGTTCACCCTATTTAATAAAAGGGCCTGGGCAAGGAGGATAGCATAACTTGATGGTTGCTGAAATGAGTAGATCACTAATGAGATTTTAGTAATTTCTAAAGAGAAACTTAATGTAATATAAAG